TTGTGGTTTTGCTGCTAAATTAAAATCTAGCTGGAGTGGTATAATATTTACTCTGTACTGCATAATTCTAGACATAAACATCTTAATTATCAAACCAAAAAATGGCAAAATGTGTCAATATCATTGTAGTATTGTTGTTGGGTGGTTGATTTACCGTGTCCACTCCAGCCAAGAGAAGCTCAGTGATGCTACCGTACACGTCCTTGGTGCTCATCTGGGTATTTGAGAGGAGGTATGTCAGGTATTCACCTTGCACATCCTGGTTTTTGTCCACTCGCTGTTGAATGTCCTCCATCTTCTTGTCAATCAACGTTTTAGCTACATAAAGAGCAAAAACTGAAGAACTGATTGGAATTGGCTCTTGGTTTGAACCAAGTTTTTAATTTTGGCCACCTTTGTAACTCAGTTTGACTTTCTTGTGTTAAAGGAAATGTCCCAGTATTTTAAAAGACATGTCAACAGTTTAATGTACTGCTACCAAAAGCTTCACATTTTGCTGTTAGTAATAAAAGTACTTAAATTTTCATGCCTGGACCCCTAATTGAAGCTCACCAAAACTGAAAATCCCCTCCCAGCCAGCAATGTAGCGTCCCCAGTAAGGAAGCAGACTGCGGCTCCACTTCGGAAGCATTGCCACAATCATGGTATAGGAGAACATCTGCGTGATGGAGTGGATGAATTCCTGAGTACCGGCAGGGATTTCCTTTTCCAGACATCCAAGCTTCGTCTCAAATAATATGGAGGCAATACCTGTTCAGCAAAACAACAAACAAAAACGTTTAGATGGAAAAAAAGCTGCACGGTTAGGAGAACGTGTTTAATGCGTACCCTCTAATGAAAACAGGTACAGCTCATTGCTGATGTTCGGAACGAAATCTCCTGTCGGGCTGCTATGACGCACGTAGTTGATCTTCCTGGTGAAGTCTGTAATCACCTCATTGATGACCCCAGCGTACTGAGCAGAGTCCTTTGGATGAAGCATGCGTTTGTTCAACACAGCCCTCAGGTTGTACCACTGCTCCCCTTCCCTGAGGACAAAAAAATGGTGTTGGAAGAAAAAGCTTTAAACGTCTCCATATATGTGAGATAAAGTTCGCTAACGTTATTGTGTCGTGTGGTATAGGTTTTGTTGTGTCTTTGGCTTTAAGTTTTCTTTAAATTACCAGCTCTCATTCTGTGTAAATTGTATCTCAAGGTGCAGTTATGGAGGAGTGGACGTCTAGATTGGGGACCTCGGTGACTCATCTCTCTTTATATGCAGATGATGTGGTTCTGTTGGCACTTTGACTCACGGCCTTCATCGTGCTCTGGGGTGGCTTACAGTCCAGTCCATGGGGAAAAGGTGAACACTCCATCCTGTTTACGAAGGGAAGGGAGTCTCTTCCTCCTGTGGAGGCGCTCAAATACCTGGGAATCTTTTTTGGAAGTAATGGTAGAATGGAGTGGGGCATGGATCAATGGATCGGGGCTTAGTCTGGAGTAATGATGGCATGGCTTGGATCTGTTGCTCTAAAGGAGGAGATGAGGTGTTCCATCTCTCACTTATGATCATGAGGGATAGATCAAGACAAGACCAAAGGAACAAGATTCTGGATCCAAGTGTCTGTAATGAGCTTCGTCTCAGCCTTAGAAAAGTTATCAGGTATCTGACTTGAGTTAATGTATCAGCTGAAAGTGGCCCGTGGTTCGGCCAAAGCTTTTAAATGTTGGCTCCTTTTTAGTAACCGAGTTCGACACCCCTACGTAGTCTACATGATACTCGGGTATACTGCGTATACCCACTTAAAAGTGCCCAGTGATACACGACAGATCATTAGGCACATATCGATACATTCAACGGTAGTTAAACGCTTCTGTAACAATCTATTGGTATGCAGCATCTTGCTTTGATACGGTTTTATAAATTCTATAACATGTTTTTAATACAAAGCCGACTGTTGTACAAAGTTTGTTGTTCATTTATTCAAATATAAGCATCAGAGAAATTTGGAAATTCAATAATAAAAATCGAAATGATTACATTGTACTAACCAGTGTACTGTGGTTTCTAAGCACAGTGTACCCACTATAAAAATGTAGACTACACCACTACTGGTCTGTTCCACATAAGCTAAGTAATATTTCTAATTTATCCCAATTTATTTGGAAGAGCAGATTAAATTTGAACTTTCTAAAGATTTATTTCAGATTTATTGTTTGAAAGAATAACTTTTTTTAACATAGTCTTGGACTTTGTCACCTTGTTATTCTCTAAAACACAGCATTGGCCTCCAGTCAATAATTATGGATAGATTGAATTTAAATGCTCAGGGTAACAGGAACGTTGTCAACAATAAGAGCAATGTCTCTATTCAGCAAGTCTGAATCAGCCCATTTTAATCATAGAAGTTTTTTTTTTTTCCTCTAGGAAACTGGTTATGTAAGTGTTTCCAGGATCGTTTTACGAACTGGCTGCAGGAACGCTGGAATGAAGCCTCTTGAGTGTATCAGTATTTGGTTCTTACTCTGTGAAGGGCCCATAGCCCAGACCTCTCATGTCCCTGTACTCTGTCCACAGGGACATGTCTCCTCTGGAGGGAAACTTCTCATCCTTCCTCAGGAGCTCCTCCAGCAGCTCAGGGGTGTTGATGGACACAGACTTGAATCCACTTTTGTATATGGGCCCGTACAGCTGCTTCTCATAGATCTGATGGGGGTCAAAAGTGTGAGAGAAACCTAAAATCAATATCTAGAAAGTACAAAGTTCCTTGTGTTAATACAAAAAAATCCAGACATTTAAAAGGACAAAGTGCAGCTCGCCTCAGTAAAACTGATCCCTGACGCTGTTATTGGAAGGTTGCTGTGGATACCAAAGCTCGTTTATAACGTGCAATCTCTAGAGGTATGCCATAAAGCAGAAAGGTCACGAGCCTAGTAAACAAATCTGCTCTCAGGTCGACTCAAGAGCTACAGATTTGTGGTGCAAATATATAAAAAAAAAGCATCCTTCATGTAACGCAGCTCCACCTGACGTCAGCCTCACCTGTAGCTCATGCAGGCGGTTGTAGAAACCCTGGAACACGACCCTGTAGAGAAGCTCCAGGAAGCTGACCCGTGGGAGCTCCTCCATAGTCCGAGGCTTGTCCTGGACGGCGTGGAGGGCCTCCGGGGCCGAGGTGGTTCTTCCCACCCCCCTGGAAACGAAGCATAACCGGCTGCCGTTCCACAGCAGCCCTCTCTGTGAGAGCCACGCAGCCATTACAAGGGCAGACTGGAAATGTTTACTGGGCTCGGGTTTCACCAGCACAGGCTGGAACGGGAGGGGCCACGTCTCAGACTGTTTAACCCAAACGTCCCAGACTCCACACAACCAACCCACAGAGGGGGTTTATGAAGCCTGAGCTCTACAGAACTCATTCCACCCCCTTATTGGTTAATATGTTGACAATAAGCAGAGCGTCTTGTTTTATATCTAAAAAAGTTTAGGTTTTTTTTTTTATGTCCAGAGGATCAGATTTAACTTTTTTAGATTTTTCTACCTGGATTATTGAGCATGCATCAGGATGTCTTGTTCTGTACTGACTCTGGATCAGCAGGTCTTATGTAACCGTCAGGGCTGTGTTTGAAAGACCAAGACATTATCAGCTATAATCAGCAGTTTAGGAGCTGAAACCCCAGGAAGTTTTCATTTTGGCTGTAAATAACCAGACGAAGAGTTTCCTGGATCAGAAGTCTTTAAATGAAAAAGTTCTGCAAGAATCAACACGATGCTCCACTGGTTCTGTACAGAAAAGTACATAAACAAATATGAAGTTGTTGTTTTTTTTAATATAAATACTGTATTTCTTTCTTTATTCAGTAATGAGTCTCTGCATGGGTTCAGTCATCCCTTCATGTGAGCCACATTGTCCACAGCTCCCACGGGGTCCGTTTTGTGCAGCAGGAAGTGTCCCTGCACCTGAGCAGCGCTGAGCTCGGCGTGGGCGGCTAGCGCTCGCTCGGCGAAGCGCTGTCCTTCTGAGGCCGGCTCGTTCGGGTAGAACCGCCGGAACATCTGGCTGAGCTGCCAGCGGGTGCAGAACCCGACGTACTGCTTCAGGTCGACGCGGCCGGGTCGGATCAGCGCTGGGTCCAGCCTGTGTGCAGTGAAGGTGACGGTTGGGGTCAAAGAGAATCACTGCGTCAAAATTAGTTTAAAATTGCAGCAGAACATTTACAGTTCCTGCACACACTTTGCCTTTCAGTCAGTCTGTTAGCAAAATATCTCATGAACCAGTTTTAATCAAAATTTTTTTTAAATTACAACTGGGTGCACATCTACAAATGATTAAATTTTAGAGTCCGCCAGATTCAAGATGGCTGCCAGAGCTGTTCAACTTTAGCAAACGCAAAAACAGCTGTACAGCAGCCGTTTTAGAGATTTTGCAGGTTTAATCACCGTTTGCTGCAGTTTTAATTTTACTGTTGGACAAAACTGTTTGTTTCTTCTTTAAATAAAAAAAAAATAATTATTATTGTCACACGTCCGTACCTTTCTATGAAATTGGTGGTCATAAACACGATTCTGGCCTCAGATGAAGCCACTCCGTCGAGCGAGTTGAGAAGTCCGCTGAAGGTCAGTCTCCCCATCCCCTGATAGGCCAGCGGGTCTGAGGGGCACAAACAAAAACACGTCAAGAGTCTGCAAGCTGTAGCTCAGGGGCCGCAGGAGGCTCTGTAGCTTTAACCAAAAAAAAAAAAAAAAAAAATGAACATTTGTATTTTAAACCACAACAAGATCTTTGAATCTGTTCTCTCCAGTTTTCTGCAGCATGTGAAGAAAATGTCTGAATGATTCTCTGAAGACAAGAACCAAACTCATCAATAAGAAGTTTGTGAGTCACTTTACTGTTTCAGTCTTCTACCTTACAGCCACGCAGCGGGGTCTTTCTCTGGTACTAGAAAAATAAAACATCTTTAACTGATTTACAGCAAGTGGTTGAATATTTGGCAGAAATGTCACTCCTTTAGGAGTTATTTAAAAGCTGCAAAAACAATTCCATCCATCCATTTTCTTCCGCTTATCCGGGGTCGGGTCGCGGGCGTAGCAGCCTTCAGTTTATTTATACAGCGCCAAGTCACAACAGAAGTCGTCTCAGGTCACTGAACAGAAACATTCATGTATAAAAATAATAATTTAACATTATTTATGTGAGGAGCAGACTGCTCTGAGTTTAATTCCATCACAGAACTCTCATCTTGAGCGAGCATGAAGGCGACAGTGGAAAGGAAAAACTCTCTCATGAGGAAGAAACCTTTAGCAGAACCAGGCTCAGGACAAGCAAAAATTAGAAGTGCAGACTCAGCTTTTATTAAAAAAAAATTAACAAATGTTAATTGAACTTCAAAGTTCATGCCCAATAATGTTCAGTCAGGTCATCCAAAGCAGTCCTTCGGATGAAGGACGAAACGTCTCGGCAAAAAAAGAAACCGTCCAGATGACCTGACTGAACATCGTTGGATTATTACCGTATTTTTTGGACTATAAGGCGCACCTGATTATAAGGCTCACTGTCGATTTTTAAGAAAATTAAAGGATTTTAAAGTTGCGCCTTATAGTCCGAAAAAAGACGGTATCTGGATTACTGAGCATGAACTTTGGTGTTTTGAACCATTTTGGCTAAGGAGGAGGAGTTGACGGGGGAGAGAGTGAGATACAGAAACCATCTTATCACCAGCAAAGTGCTTTATTCCACTACGGGAGTTGGTGCGTGTGGGACTCAGTTTGTTTGTGGCTCCTCGGATTGAAGAAGTCCTTTGGATGAAGGACAAGATGTCTCAGCAATAAAAGAAACCGTCCAGATGACCTAATGAAATTAAACTGTTACCAGAGAAATTTCAGTGCGTCAAAATTAAATATCGGAGACATTTTCCCAATTTTTATGTTCGCTTAATTTACCATGATACAAACAAATGCTTAAACATTTCTACATGAGTTTTTTTGTTTGTTTTCCACAAATATTGTAAAAATTCACACAAGCCTTCATAAGTCAGTGATTACTTTTTATCAACGGAAGTAAATATAAAACGTTTTCCCCTCTTTGTGCAAGTTTAGACTTTTAGAAGTATTTTTAGATTTCAGGACAAAAAAAGATCAAAGTTTCTTGTTTTAATTAAATAATTTCAGTATTTAGTTAAGTATTTTTTTATTTGTGGTATTTATCTAAAACTTAACGAATCACGTTAATCCAAATTTCTTGTAAATTTCAATCTTTAAATACATTTTGCAGCTCTGGGTGAATTTTATTTAGTGCTTATTTAGAGGGAAAAAGAGGCAGAAATATCTTTTGATTGTAAAGGTAGCAGACACCGGCTCTGTTATCCAGAAATTCATCCTCAAATTAGAAAAAGACAAATGTTCAACTGGAAAAAGACAACTTCACAAAATCTGAGCTGATGCATAAACAACCTGGAGAACTGGGTGGGCATTCAGGGTCCCGCTCTATATTTTATAGTTTTTATGCTTGTATGTGTTAGTGTACATCACTTTGTTTTAAAGTGCTTTATAAATAAAGTTGTCTTGTAACCTGATCTGTCAGGACTAACCCTGCTACTCACTCTCAGTGGGAAGCAGCTCTCGGCTCACGAAGGCAGCGTCCACGTCCTCAAGCAGGACGATGCTTTGCTGCGGCGCGACGCTCAGCAGGTGGTTCAGGCGGTCGTCTGAAAGCGTGCGGTCGCTCAGACTCAGCAGGCAGATGCTGTAGCCCAAGTCCCCCGCCAGCGCCGTGCTGAAACACAACCAGACCCAAAAACCGGTTCCTGAAGTCACGCACGCAGCAGGAAGGACGAGACGTGTAAACTGACGGCGCACTCACATAAAGCTGCTCTTTCCACATCCAGGGGGGCCGTACAGGAGATACCCCCGTCTATAAGGAATCCCTACATCCAAAGAAAATCACTTTCAGACAAACTGACAGCAAAGATCGGACGAAACTCCTCCACAATGCAGGAAACAAGAAAACTAGAGAAATTGCATTTTCTGTGAATATTTAATTGTTGGATGATTTCTGCTGAAGAAGCTGACAAAGTTTCATCGCTAAACTTTTAAATGAGTTGAATGTGAACAGATGACATCTGCTGAAAACAGAAGAAAAACAGCAGAAACGAGTAAATAAGCTGAAATAAGAGAGGCAGAGGCTGATTATAGAGTATTATAAAATGTTCTGAAATTAGCAAATAAGAAAGCAAAATGAGCTGAAAAAAAGTTGAGTAGCAAAAACAGTCAAGGAAAAAGGGGCTGAAAGAAGCATATAAAGATGAAACTATTAGAAAGAGGCCCAAATGGCAGACATTAGCAAAAAAATAGAAGAAAAAAGGCTAAAATTAACAGATTTTTTTTTTACATTTATTAACATACAAAATTAACATTAACATTTTCATATTTGTATTGTTGAAATGTAAAAAAATCTGCAGAACGAGTCACGTGCCGAAACACGTACGGAAGAAAAATGGATCTCAAATAGTGCGTTACAAACATTCACACAATTACTGCAAGATGTAAACAATTAGCTACAAACTACACGGTACTTAAGTGTCAATAATTCACAAACATAAAGTACCGTATTTTCCGCTGTACACGTTGCTCCGCCCTATAAGTCGCATCAGTCCATATTTGGCTAATAAAGTGGAAAAATCCCTAAATATGTTGCTTCGCCATATACGTCGCGTTTGTTATGCGTCACTGCTGATAACCCGGAAATGTGGGCCGGTGTGCCAAAAATCGATGGACTGCCAACCTGTGGGAGTGTGTACTGGAGGACTTTAAGAAGAATTTAACAAGATTACCACTTAAAAATAATTATTTGTTTGCTCGAAATTATAGTAAATGTGTGTCTCAGTCTAGCGTTTGCTTAATAAATGCACTTTAATGATCAAATTAGCTGCATTTCGCCGGGGCAGTGCAGCTGTTTTCACTTGTTCCAAGCAGAGAGCAGAATGAAGGTGGGGAGATTATGGCAGGCCAATTGAGCCTTTAATAGCTGGTGAAGATTCTCAGTCATCCAGGACATGGTAAATTCAAGAGTTCAAGAAATAAACAATAATGTATAATAAATAATGTCCAGTTGTTTTTGTCTTGCACTTTATTGAATTTGTCATTATAGCCATGTCTACCTATTACATGATACAACGGCATGCCTTACAGCCGCTGCTACTACTCTGCTCCCATCAAGTGGCTGAAAGTGGTACGGCTAAAAAAAAAAATCAGAATGAATGAAAACAGTCATATCTCAGCCAAAAATTGGTTTATAAAGATGGGAAAAATCCATAAATATGTCGCTGTAAGTCGCAGGACACAAATTATGCAAAAAAGTGCGACTTATAGGACGGAAAATACGGCAGATCCTTTACCTCCTCCATAAAGTTAAAGCAGAGCATTTGCACATTAATTAACTCTTTCCATCTATCATCTTTACCCACTTTTCATTTCAGGTCACTGTTTCAGGTCACTGGTGTCATCACTGTATGAGAGGCGGGGGGACACCCTGGACAGGTCTCCAGTCCACCACAGGGACACAAACGAGACAAACAACCATTCACTCTCTCACTCACACCTTGGGACAATTTAGAGTTACAGTCAGCCTAACATGCATGATTTTGGTCTGTGGGAGGAAACTGGAGTACCTGGAGAAAACCCACGCATGCACGGAGAGAACATGCAAACTCCACCCAGAAAGGTCCACGGCTGGGATTTGAACCAGCGACCTTCTCGCTGAGAGGCAGCACCTCTACCAACTGAGCCATCTTGCAGTTTAAAAAACTTCAACTGCTCTGACATAATCACTGCAAGTTTACTATTTCCAACTCTTTACCTCGGTCTGTGTACCACTTGGGGTTTCCAATGAAGTCCTTCACGTCATCCACGATCCTCTCAGCTATGCCGGCCTCCAGGACCACAGAGCACAGAGGTCTGCGTCGCCGTGGAAACCCAAACGGCCTCCATTCAGCGCCCATGGCTGTGTACATCACCGTTCTTCCTTCCTCCTGCTTCAGGGCAAGCTCCCTTGCTGCAAAACATTGATAACATGAAAAGACGCGTCATAATAAAACATACTTTTATCTGATTCTAAAGTTTTATATTTTATGAGAGAAGGTAAAAAACAAATCTCTTTAGTCTCCATTAGGTGATAAAATGAGGGAAACACAACTTGAGATTAAAGCAAACAAAAGTCAAGTCAAGTCATATTTATTTATAGAGCACAATTTAAAACAGATAGACTGTTATCAAAGTGCTTAACACTAAGGGTAACACTGAGAAATAAAAAGCAGTAAGAATATACCTTAAAAAATTAAAACAACAGCATTAAAATGAAGACATGGAACAAGATATACTAAATCAACTCACACAGTATGAAACGCCAGAGAGAACAGATATGTTTTTAGCAGGATTTGAACACAGGAAGGGAGGTGGCATGCCTAATGTTGGGGGGTAGGTTGTTCCACAGTTTGGGACCCATGACTGAAAACGCCCGATCTCCTCGGAGCTTCAGTCGTGTTTTTGGAACAACCAAAAGCAGCTGATCGGATGATCTCAGAGCCCGAGAGGGAACATATGGTTCCAGTAGCTCAGAGAGGTAGATGGGTGCGAGGCCATTTAGGCACTTATAGGTCAGGAGGAGAATTTTGAAATCAATCCTAGTTCTCACAGGAAGCCAGTGTAGGGAGGACAGAACTGGTGTGATGTGCTCATACCTCGGTGTACCGGTTAAGAGCCGAGCTGCAGCATTCTGGACGAGCTGTAGCCGTGAGATAGAGGCCTGGCTGACCCCAGCATACAGTGAATTACAATAGTCCAGGCGGGTTGTGATGAATGCATGGACTAGTGTCTCAAGGTCGGGTCTAGCCAGCACTGGCTTGAGCTTAGCTACCTGCCGCAGTTGGAAGAAGCTTCTCTGCAGAACTGAACTGATCTGTTTGTCGAACTTAAAATCCGAGTCAAAAACCACTCCAAGGTTTTTAACAGAGTGCTTCAGATAAGGCTAAAGGGAGTCCAGGTTCACAGGATAAGAGGCGGTAACTGAGCTAGGGCTAAAGACAATGACTTCAGTCTTCTGGTCGTTAAAACTTAGAAAATTTGAAGCCATCCATGTCTTAATGCCGTCCAGACATTTGAGGAGAGGGTGGACGGAACAAGCACCGGCTGGTTTCAGTGGCAGGTAGATCTGACAGTCATCGGCGTAGCAATGGAATGGAATACCATGTTTTCTTAGGATCGACCCCAGCGGAAGCAGATAGAGTGAAAATAGAAGGGGTCCGAGAATCGAGCCCTGCGGGACACCGCAGGAAAGAGGCATTGAAGTCGATAGATTTTTACCCACCTTCACACAAAAACTCATATTTGACTCTGGAATCCTCTGGTCTGCAGAGTTTATGGTCGACTGAATGACAGTAAGAAGTCCAAAACAAGCCAAACCATCAGCCCTCCACCTCCGTGCTTAACAGTTGGTATGAGGTTTATACTGATATGATGTGTTGATTTTAAATGGTCTTAGAGAGAAGAGACTTTCACCTGCAGCCTTTCTAAACAAGCCATACTAATTCAGTCTTTATTGTCCTATCGTGACCTTTGTCCTATTGTGACCTTTACCGTTTGACCTGTAGAGTCTGAGATGGAGTCCTGCTTACCATTTTTTATACATCCTAATCCATGACATCTAAAAAAATACAATTTTTTTAATGTTCTGTGAACACACCTTCTTGTAAGATATTAAAGAAGATTTGTCTGTCTCTGCCCAAAGCGGTGAAGGTGACGGACTCCCATGGAGTTCCAGTGTGAAGATCAACCATCTGCTTCTCTCTGGTCCGCTCCACTCTGATCCACTTCCTCCCATACCTAAAGACCACATGGGATCACTGTGACACAAGTTCTGCTTTCAATACAGAGAGCAAGCCAAATGCATGCATAACTATCCAGATGTTCTGAAATAAAAAGGTTTCCTGACCAGATGATGTGGTTCCCAGGGCTCGGGTGGAAGTCGAACTGCGTGTGAATCCGCCCACTCTCGTGAGCCTGGTAGGAGGTCTCCACGCTGAGGTGCTGAGTGTGCCTGGCGTGCTTTGTGATCCAGCTCAGCAGCCAGTTGTAGCTCTTGTCCCTGCTGGGAACCTCCAGGGTGATCATGTAATTCCTGCGGAAGAAGATCATCCCCACCTGGGCTCCCTTTCTGGCCACGGCCAGCGCGGTCCCGACACCAACCAGTCCAAAACCGGCGCCGAAGTAAGGGTTGTCCTTCAGGCTGTCCAAGAAGTCCGACAGTGGCATGTTGCAGATTTCTGCGGTCCTCCCGTGAAGTCCGAACTTTGTTTATTGTTTAAACATAAGAAGAAGAAAAATCATGTTCAAATCCGTTTTAAAAACATGATTTATAACCTTTAAGTCTTGAAAGTCCTCGTGTGTAACGAATGAATGCACCGAAGCGAACTTTGCATGTCCTGTGTTTCAAGAAAAACATTCCGACTATTCTCTAAAACTCACGATCATTAGTTCCCCGGTTCCTTGGCAATTATTTTCACCTTTTTTTTTTCTTCATGATAAAAAGTACATATGTTGCTCGTGGTAGAAACAAAATAAAAAAGTTGAGCATTATATATTTTAATTTGTAAGAAGACCTTACACCTTCTGTTCACTTTTGGTGTTGCGTTTCCGATTGTTTCTCCAACCTCGTCCACCCTGAAAACAAAACTAAGCACAACACCGGCTGCCCTCAAATACAGTTTAAAAAATTGGGAAAAATATTCCCACGACATCATATTTTTATATCTGTCCAAGACCTTCTGGGCAAGGTTTCGTATTTACCCAATATTTGTGCGAAAGATATATTTTTAATTTTTTTGTGTGTTAACAGTTTTATGGTAACAACATTGACCGGAAGTCGAAGGAATCCGGAAGCATAACAAGCTAACTGTAGCTAAGACAACATTAGTGTATTTTAGCGTTTGTAGCCACTTTAGGTTAAAAATGAAAAAGTAAAATAAATTTTGGAGATTGTTACTCAGTACGAATGAGTGATTTGTCTCAGAAACATACAGTAAATATGAATTTAGGACTCAGACCGGTCAACTAAAACAGGTAAATGAACTGATATGTTTGTCAGATAGAAAATGTGGAAACAAGGGTCTATCAGAAAATTACATTTTTAATGTGAGTACTACAGTCTTTTAATTATTTTATAGTTATATTAGCTATGTAAATGTCCTACCAAATAATATTACCTTAAATTAATTGTTTTATTTTTAACTGTTGTGCTTCATGGTTATTGAACAAGATATACGTCAAGCTCTCCATAAAAGTGCAAATATCTTCAACTTCAAATATATGAATGAAAGAACGTGATGCCTTTTAATCTTAATTTTGCTATCTGTTTTTAGAGAACAACACTGAACAATCAACAACAGGGAAGTGATTTGAATTAAACATGGAAAAAGGCACGTCTTCAGCACCAAATGCATCGCCTCTGCCATCCAAAGGTAAGTTCATTTATTTGTCTTTTCTTTCTGTTTTGTGCATTCATGCTAAACAACAGCATTAGACTATAATTCAGGTCTCTCTTGTAAATGAGTCCTCGAGGCTCAATGGGATTTACCTGTATAAATAAAGGTTGATTGATAATGGTTAATAAAATGGTCTTCTTTTTTCGAGCACATTGTGTCAAATTAGCTCCTGCTACATTAAAATCCAGTTAATTCAAGTCAGAGCAATGCTCTATATATGTACTGCTATATGCTGTACTTTATATTTTATCTGTCTAAAACAGGTCTTTCTTGAAAATGGTCCTAGTGACTCAATGAGACTACCAGTATTAAAAAGGTTTAAACATACTATGCTATGCTAAGCAAAGCGCACCACACAGTGATATCACCAGCCTTGTAATGCTCCTCGGTTGCAAACAGTCTCTGACTCCTGGTGTCAGTTTACAGCCAATAATAGACATAAATGCTAAACCAAACCAGAACAGAAAAATAACATGAAAAACCTAATTTCACACTCGGAAACACTGTAAACAGTCAGAAACATTGCACACATATGATAATTCCTACCCAGCATACTTTGCTATGTTCACTGTCTCTTGGACGTGACTCTCTCACACATGTCACACATCTTTACTTTAATACTGATTTATTACTGAGAGAATATTGATGATGATGCACAGCAGCTTTGTAGTTAGTTTATAAAAGTAGTTAACCACAAAAAGAATCATCAGTGAGTTAATTTATTATAGGAAATGACATGAGGGAGATGTCCGACTCGCACTGAATGCATCACTCTGCTTCAGCACGGCAGAGTTCTGCTCATTGGTTTCGTTTTGAGTTGTGTTCACTTACAACATTGTCACACTACAGTCTTACAGTGTCAGCGACAGCAACGTATGACAAAAATTAGCACTTTAGCGTTAGCTTACAATCATTATTTTAACTATTTAGTGGTTTAGCGTTAGCAACGCAACTTTTTTTAGTTAACGAATTAGTGGTTACTGAAGCTAACTTTTTAATTAGCTGTGCCCACCACTGATTAGAAGTAACACTTGTTAATTATTTTTAACAGAGGATATTTTAAATTTTTTTTGTTACAAAACACTTTAAAAATAAATTGTTCTTGTCCATTAGAGTACCTTGCTGAGGGAACCGAGAACATCTATCGCACCCACACCTGCCCCAAATGTCGTCGCTGCTTCAAGATGCACTCTCACCTGCAGGAGCATCTACGTTTGCATTTCCCCGACCCAAATCTCCAGTGTCCCACCTGCAACCGTTTCTTCACCAGCAGGAGCAAACTTTGCCTTCACCGACTCCGGGAGGCCGGTGAGAAGACCCACCGCTGTCACCTGTGTGAATATTCTGCAGTGGAGAAGAATGCGATCCGTCGCCACGTCGCCAGCATGCATCCAGATGAGGCAGAGGAAGGCGCGAACAGTCAGCGCTTTCTTTGTCCCACCTGCAGTCAAAGTTTTCCCCAGAGCAGAGCGCTGAAGGCTCACATGAAGACGCACACCATCCTGTTGGGCAACACGCCACTGGCTTGTTTTCAGGGGGGTTGTTCTTTCCAGAGCTCTGAGCGTAAAGACTTCATGAAACATGTCTCACAGGAACACGGGATCGAAGCAGTGGAGTGTCGTCACCGCGCCTGCAGCGCAGTCTTCCGATGCGAGGCAGAGATGGAAGCTCATTATCGGACACATCTCGCCTACCACTGCTCAGACTGCGATTTCTGCTGCTCCAATAAATCTGTCTTTTTGCGGCACCGGCGTCTCGGTCACCCGGGGGACAAACAGCTTTGCTGTGACTTTTGCCCCTTTGTTACGCTCAACCCTGTGGAGTTTGAGCAGCACGTCGGGCATCTACACGCCAACGAGAAGACCCACCGCTGCTCTCAGTGCAGCTACATCACCTCGCATAAACGTGGTTTGAAGCGACACATGCTGGTGCACACTGGTGAGGATGGACTTACACACACTGTCTTTATTTGATCAGTTAAATGTTAGAAAAGTAAATGTTTTTAGCATCATATGTCATTTTCTTTGGTTTGCTTTCAGGTGAGAAGCCCCACAAATGCAGCCTGTGTGATTTCAGGTGCAGAGACGAATCCTACCTGTCCAAACACATGCTCACTCACTTAGATGATAAGAACTTTATGTGTGCGGAATGTGGATACATCACCAGATGGAAGCATTATCTCACTGTCCATATGAGGAAACATGCTGGAGATCTCAGGTATAAAACAACTCTGAGTTACAGTTTTATCTCAATTTGTTTTAGGGGCTGAAGGGTCAGAATAGACACAAACCTTTAATTTTGTTGTGTTTACTTAAAACTATTGTTTGTGTTTACATTTCTCCAGCAAAAAGGTAGTATTCATGAAGTAAAGAAAAGGTCTCTGCACACATGACATTCCATTAAAATTAGGGATGCACGATATTGGATTTTTGACCGATATGCCGATATATTAAAACTTAGTTGGCCGATAACTGATACCGATACCGATATTTTTTAAATGCTTTCCTTTGTCAGAACATAGCCCTCTTATTTAGGCTTATTTGCTTCAAAAATTGTGTAACAGCTGTAAGAGCTGGTGACATATATTCAGTAACAGCCATATGATATGCATAGCACTTTAACTTATATTAAATGAAAAATGTTAAATGTTATTTATTAGCATTAATCACCTGCGATGCTGTCTCACTTGTGGAGGCTTGTTCCAGGTTCCTAGCTGCAGTGTGGGATCCTCTGCACTCTTGTGCATGAAGGACAGACTTTTTAAGTTCAAAGTTTTTGTCTATCCATTGTGCCCTAAGACTAATCATGCTAACGGGGCTAACACTTGACGTCCAGATGTCTGTGGTAAAACTCACCCATGTGCTATCGGCTGTTAGCTTCTCAACGACGTCGGAAATGGCGGTTTGTAACTCAGGTAAAGCTACGTCGAAAAAATATATCTGACTGGGGACGATGTAACGAGGCTCACCGTAGTCTGAAAATCTTCGGAATCCAACATCCTCAACGAAAAAAATGAATTTCCACACCGATGACATTTTGAATTATCCTCTACGCCGTGATCAGATGAGGTAGGTGCGCACGACGAAATCATATTGTGCCGGCGCTGCAGGCATCCTTGTCACTGGGTTGTCATACAAAAAAAGCGTCTTTTATATCGGCGAGTTATTTTGATGGAGTGGCCGATGTCCGATATTGAATTTTAACGCTAATATCGGCCGGTACCGATACCATGCCGATAACATTGTGCATCCCTAATTAAAATATCAAGATATGTTTTATTGTATAACTATGGATTTATTTCTGAATTATTTCTCATTTGAGGCCTGCTGTGCTGACATATAACAAATATTCCCCACTTGCACACTAAATATTATTGTTTGAACTAAACATGGTTAAACATCTGTACATGTATTGGTGGAGATTTTCTTGTTTCAGAAAAATACAAAGTTTACTTTGAAAGTGTTGATGGAGAAGCATACCATCAAGAGAAAGCATATGACAGGGTACCAAGAAAAGTTCCGTGGTTGTGTAGGTATGTTAGGTTACTGTAGGTTGTGTACAAAGACAGAGAGACAAAGGCCAGATGTGCAGTAGGAGGGACAGATGGGCTCAAGGCCAGGTTGGAATTTCACCAAGAATCATCTCCAAGCCTTCAGAAATCTTGAATCTTGAATTCAAGCCTTCCTGCCAGGCTCGGGGTTTACCCGGTGGCTTTCTTCATCTGTACCAAAAGTTTTGTTCCTCACGTTTCTGCACTCCAAACCATCCGACTGTGGTTCTTCAACCAACTGTGGTGGACTTGTGGCAGACGTTGTTCTCTTGCTCAAAATTACATAATAAATAGAAAATAAAACATTATTTTTAGCATCAGGGAGAAACATCTTTCATTATTTTAGAACTTGAAACTATACACGGACAGTAATGCATAGAACTGGGCCTCGTTTGCCCCAACAGAGCTTTTTCAAAATGCTCTACAATGACAACTTTGTCATCCAGGCAGAAATCTACACAACTCAGGGTCTCAAATGCCCCAAAACACTTCTCACTTATTGTAGCAGCTGTGATCTGTCAATTTTAGCCAAATGCTGTCCAGGAAAACTGGAAAACGCAGTTTTTATGGTACAATAGTCCCACGTTTATCACGGGGGTTCTGTTCCCAGCCTCTCAGTGATGAGTGAAAAACCGCAAAGTAGGAATAGTAGTACAAGTAGTAGTAGTAATAGTAAGTTGTAAGTAGTAGGGGTGCACCGATAAATCGGTCGGCCAGTTTTTCGGCCCCGATTTCCTTAATTCTGGGAAATCGGCAGTTGGCTGATACTTGCATGAGAAACTGATTTTATTGATTTTTTTTGTTTCTTTGTTTTAACAACAATTGTCTGAACTTCATTTATATTTCAGAGCACTACCTCATGGCCAGTTAAAACAAGTTTGTATTGTTTATAGGATATTGTTCAAGGGTATGTTTTTCATTAAAATAAGATTGGAAAATTGAAGGTGCATTGTGACTTCATAACACCTGACAGTGTCGCTTATAAAACAATCGGTATCGGTAGCTCAGACTTTTTAGAAATCGGTGATCGTGATTGGCCAGAAAACTGCAATCGGTGCACCCCTAGTAAGTAGTAGTTTATTTTAGTATTTATCAGAATAAATTATATATATTAAGGTGTTTTAATCCCTTCCCACTCTTGCAATTTTCTAAACAAAAGTTTCTTCATTCTAAACGCTCTAGAAGAGCACAGCATGTCATGATCGCCGCTCTCTGCCACCTGCCAGTGCTCTCGGCCACGCCCACTTCTCCACTGCAAGGTGGCAGAGAGCAGAAATCATGACAAGCTGCAAGAGGGATCTTCTCCCTGCACGTGTGGGCTGCACACAGGTGCAGCAGGTGCTAAACTAGTTTCGTCCCACCTCGTGTACCACATGTGGTGTGTATGACAAATAAATCTCTCTGAATCTGAATAATTTAAAATAATTTATTTAAAGTAAGTAATCCATGCCGCTCGTGCGGCTCATCCATCAATCAGCCAGTTGTGTGTCATGTCCAATCTTACTTTGAAAAACCGTGAAGGAGCGAGGGACTACTGTATTTTAAACAGCTGCCCTCAGTGCACAGAGGATTTATTTCATATTGCTTCATCCAGTTGTGAAATAATAAAAAGATTACACACTTGTCCATAAATCCATAATTATCAAAAAGAAAAACTATGTTTTACCTTTTTAGAAGGACCCTCAGATTTCTGAAATGTAAGTGTGCTCAGATCAGCAACTGCATCACCTCCTGGCTGGCTTGCCAAATGAAGTGGCATTTACTGATACTTCATAACTTACCGTAAAAACCAGACTGACTCTTAGAAAAGCTAAATGGGGTTTATTACAGAAAAACAAGCTGGAAAGAGAAATTACCAGATCTACCTTCAAAAAGAATCAGGGAGTATTTATCTCCAAAACTTCCCGGTACGTGACACATACTTGCAGTTTCATAATTTTTGAACACACACTCATGCAGACAAAAATGTTTTTCAGGTCCTGAGCAGAAAAACAACCCCAAATTTGTCAAAGTTCATGCTCATTAATCTAGAAACCATTGTGTCATCATCAAACTGGTTGGCCCACTGTGTGTGTATTGCCTATGCTATGGGACTGATTTTGTTCTGACTCCTCTGACTGATGAAGTCTTTTGGATGAAAGACGAAATGTTTCAACACAAAGAATACTTAACTTTGAACAAAGAGACTTAACTTTGTTGGATTATCTGTTTTAAATCACGCCCACACTTTTCTGGAAATAACAAATTTACGTACACATTTCCTGCAGATCCCTCTAATCTTCTTGGACCATTGCAAACTTGGCTTTTTGTATGATGCACATATTTTGGCCTAAAGAAATTTACTTCACCCCTTTTTGTTTGCAATGATGGGCAATTTGACAGATGAGGTCACGTAGGACTCCCCGTGGACTATGACTATTAGGGAGCAGGTGGAAGAGAGCCCGGAGAGGTGGATGTATACTCTGGAAACAAAAAGGAATGAAAGTCAGTGGAAGTGAGACAGAATGTGTTTGTGAATGAGAGGGAGACAGGGACTAGTGGAGCTGTAAGGATCAGCGGTACTGAATGTAGGTGAGTTTTAGTAGGATCGTTCCTCCAAAGCAACAGGAAGTGTACATGAGAGGAGAAGAGAGAGTCAGAAAGAAGGAGTGGATGGAGATTAGTGTCAGGAGGAGAGGTGCAGGAGTGGAAGGAAAAGGTTACAACTTAAGACCTGCTGTGTTGTTTGATTTGGAAACTGGTTCTAACAAAGGCAAGGGAATAAAAGTGGGTTTTCAATCGAGACTTAAAGACTGTGAGTGTGGAAGCCTGCCTGACATGCAGTGGCAACTCATTCCACAGTCTTGGACCTGCAACAGAGAAAGCCCTGTCACCTCTGAGCTTACGACAAGTTTCTGGAACTGAAAGGAGCATCTGGTCTGCTGACCATATGGTCTGCTGACATATGGCTGTAGAAGATCAGTGAGATAGGATGGGGCAGAACTGTTCAGTGATTTAAAAACATACATGAATATTTTGAACTGGATTCGAAGGTGAATGAGTAGCCAGTGCAAGGAGGCCAAAACTGGAGTAATGTGCTCTCTATGGATATGGAGCCGAGTGTCTCCAGTACGTACTGTAGACGCAGGAATCACGCAGTGCTTTTATACACTGTTATGACTGAACTTGTTGTGTCCCCTCCCAGGTATTCATGTGATCAGTGCTCCTATCGCTGTCACCGCATGGACCAGCTAAAGAGCCACAGTCTGCGACATCAAGCCAAGTCCCTCATGTGTGAGATCTGTGCATATGTCTGCAAGCGCAAATACGAGCTTCGCAACCACATGATGACCAAACATTCGGGAAAGGAAAAACGGCTAGCTGCGCTTAAGTGCAAATACTGCACGTACACTACCTGTTACCGCCAAGCCCTTCAGAACCACGAGAACTGCAAGCACACCAAGCTGAAAGAGTTTCGCTGTGCACTCTGCGTCTATTCCTCCTTCAGTGGCATCAGCCTCTTCCTTCACAAGAGGAAAGCTCACGGGTACGTTCCAGGGGACAAAGCCTGGCTGGAGAATTACAACGCAAAGGAAAAGGAGAGGAACGCTGCACAGTTTGTGCAGGATTTTTACATTAAACCATCAACAGATTGTGTGCAGCTTGAACAATCCACAGTAGATCCTTATGATCCGCCACAAGATCACGATTCCAGCAGAGAAACTGCTGCTGCTTCACAAGCTCTTAACGCTGTTGTTGTTTCTCAGGAAGTTGTTTCAGATAGATCTGCCAGCAGTCCGGAGCAGTACTGCACTCTGGTGTTAACGACACTAACTACAGACGACCAAACCAAACCCTTACAGAACGAGGACAAAAGCTCAACACCTTCAAACAATTATAGATCTGGTGTGTCTACTCCTGCCGGCTCACTAGAGGAAGATAACGTAGAAACACAAGATGGTCTCTGTGAGCAAAGTGACTTGGATGAACCTCTGATTAGCACAAGTCAAGCTGTTGAACCCCCAGATGATTCGATACCAACGATCAGCGCCGCTGTTCCAGATTTACAACCTGAGGCTCGTCTGAAAGCGTTGAAGAGACACGACAAGGACCAAGCAGAAACCATGGTTTTAGAAGGACGGGTGCAGATGCTTGTGGTGCCATCAGAAGATGTCTATCGCTGTGACAAGTGCTTGTACGTAACCCGTAAGGAGACCGCTCTGAAGTACCACTGCAGGGCTGTGTGTCACGGCAGGGCAAAGGGACACAAGTGTCAGGCTTGTGGCGCTCAGTTCAAACAGAGACGGGGCCTAGATTGCCACCTGAAAAAGAAGTGCTCGGCACGTCCACACAAAGCCAGAACATCGGTGGACGTTTCAAAGATCCTTCCAGCATCACCGGAGAATTCAGCTGCAGGTCAGGAAGAATCTGAACAACTGGAAGGGGGAACAAGTTCAGATCAGGTGGACTTTCTGTCCTTGGATATAGGACTTCAAGAACAAGAAGTGTGCTCATTTCACACACCATCATCTGCTGTTTCAGAACATACAGTTCAGGCAGCTAAGCTTTCAAATGTAAACAAAGCATTAAATAAAAGAGTCAAAAGTGTTTCACTGCAGAGAAATCCTCTTTACGTTAAAACTGAGGGGAAATTCAGATGCACACTATGCAGCTTTTCATCAGTCCAGCTACTGACAGTCAAACAACACGTGCCGTCCTGCAGAGAAACCTTAAATAAAAAAGAAAATCAACTCATTTCTGACAGGAACAACAGAAGAAGATCTCTGAAGGACAAGGAGTATCATGTAGAAAAAGCTGATGAAAGTTTTGTGAACGTTTCCAAGAAACATCAAGAAGTCTGCTGTCCAAAGTGCACATTTACGTGCAGCCAGAAAAGAGCTTTAGACAGCCATAAAAAGAAAGGCTGTATGAAAGCAGGTGAAGTCCAGTGCACCTTGTGCTCGTTTGTAGCCAAATCCACACTTTCTTTGTCTCGACACAAACTTCGTGATCACAAGAAGGAAACATCAGCCCAACGTTTGCGTTGCCGGCGCTGCTCTTTCAGCTGTGATCAGCAGCGCTCCATGAAGCAGCATCTCTTACTGAAACACAAAGACGCGCAACCTCACCGTTGTCACTACTGTCCATTCAGCACCACGAGGCGCTACCGCCTGGAGGAGCACGAGTCTCTGCACACGGGGGTCGGCCGTCACGGCTGCGACGCGTGCGGCAAGACTTTTGGCACGGTGACCAAACTGCGTCAGCACAAAGTGCGCGTCCACGACAAGCAGCCCACGCACCTGTGTTCTCTGTGCGACTTCAGAAGCTGCACTCCCGACGACGTTAGACGACACAGCCAAAGATGTCACACGGGGGAGTTGCGGCACGTTTGCACTCACTGCGACGCTCGGTTTAGTTCAGAGGTTGCTTTAAGAAACCACTGCAAACGCGCGCACCTGCTTCAGACCGGTTTTTCGTGCACGAAATGCGACTACACATGTAGCAGCGATCTGACGCTGAAGAGCCACCAACTGAGCAGACATCCTGAAGCGAAGTGTACAACCTGCCATGAAAGTTTTCAGACCAGAGAAAGCCTTGAGATTCACCAGAGGACTCACCTGGCACATCGCTGCCAGCTCTGTGACTTTGCAGCCAAAACGCGGCAGCTGTTAGCGCAGCACCTGCTGAGCGAGCACGAGGACGGGCCCCAAGAAGGCAAGCCTCTGAGGTGCAGCACGTGTGAGTTCGTTTGTCAGCATCAGCTGGTGCTGGAGCAGCACCTCCGCTCACACGGAACCAAACGCTTGTACAAATGCACGGACTGCGAGTACGCAACCCGGAACAAACAGAAGATCACGTGGCACATTCGCATTCACACCGGAGAGAAGCCGTACAGCTGTGATCAGTGCAGCTACACCTGCTCGGATCCATCCAGGCTGAAGGTAAAGTTTAGATGCTATTTGGACGACAAAATCTTAAAATCAAATTTATTTAGGCTGCTAATATATAAATTACTCAGCATTTTGGTAAATATTAAGGAAGCACTAATCAGTTGAACTGATGTTCATCCTGTTCACTGCCATCAACCTTGGATTAGATTGTTAAATAAAATAAAAAATAGATATTTAAAGTATGCATATATTCTGTCATGCTGCTGATTTGTTGTCTCGTTTACTTGCCATCCGTCCATCCATCCAACCATCCATCCATCCATCCGTCCGTCCATCCATCCGTCCATCCGTCCATCCGTCCATCCTCTCAGTTCGAAAGCCACTTGTGGTGGTCTAGATTTATCTTGTGTGTATCATTGTTTTTACCCAGAAAATGTCCAGATTTGTTTACATTTAATTCAGATTTCATTTTAAACGAGTCATTACATTTGAGATGGTTGAACGGATGATAAAGGTTTTTGAAATATCTTCCTCGCACATCGTAATGTCTGCTAACCATCAATCAAATAATATTTAAACATCTGTGTAAAACTCTGCAGTCTTTCCACCCTTAGTAAATATCACAGACACTAAAGATTTAATAAAACAATCTATTGTGTTTAACTGTGAGCTAACACTACACAGACAGGTTACTAAGTGAACCAAAAGGCAGGAAAACCTAAATGTAACGTTCTTACAGGTAGGGGTGTGGTGAGGCCGGTAAAAATGTAGAAAAATTTAGCTTCAATAAATTTCAGCTACAATTTAGCTATAACAAATACAGTTTAGCTGTAATAAACGGTTAGATTTTAAAGACTAGTAAAAAAAATCAAATCAGAAGCTAAATAGATTTTTTTTCTCATTGATGAATATTTTCCCTAAATTCAAAACTTGTAAGCAAAATTTGTGAATGGCTTCCAACTACCAGGTGTGTTTGTCTACAGAAGCACTCAGTGACTGAAAATAGGTCGACATTGACAACATCCCTGCAAGAGTTGGTTGATTTGATGTATTTGTACATATTAAAACCAGATTTGTTGTGTACAATACGCAGATAAGCTTCCGTGTGGTTTTCATGAAATTCAGCCAAGTGCTTTGTTTACGTCGAGTGCGTACCTACATGTCAGAATTGCATTTGAATATATCTAGAGAACTATTGGAGTTAAATCTTTCAAACTGCACCGTTTGATTCAGACCAGGGCAACCTTTTTGATTTCATAGTTTGCTATGTGTACCTTTAGATAAGGAGGAATTGGTGTTCTCGGTTTTTGATACTTGTGACCCACAGTAACGTCCGAATCGTTTCTTTTGAAGCTTCATCTGAGAGTTCACCAAGAGCACAAGAAGTACCTTTGTCCAGAGTGCGGCTACAAATGCAAATGGGCGACTCAGCTGAAGTACCACATGACCAAGCACACAGGTATCGGCTTAGAACAGATACACTGACATTTACAGTTTTAAAGGTGCAATTTGTGTTTCTTTAACTTTCATTTCTTTGCAGACAATATTAAACCAAGATGTCTCAGGTTTTGTCTCACCCGTTAAGATATAGTATGAACATTTTTGCATCCAGACGTACGTTACATTCCAAAAACAGTTTGGGCCGTGACGTTTTTCCCACGTTGTAACGTTTTCATTCCTTCTCTCCGCATTTAAAGTCGTTCTGACGAGGATGAAGATTTCCGGGTGTTATTTTGTCTCACTTTGGATCAGTTAACGCTCAGTAAAGTTTGCGAACGCAACTCTGGATTGTGGAACCTGTAATCGCCGTTCCATGTGGTTCCATCATCTCATCCTTTCTTGGATCTCTTGTATCAAATCATGGGAATGATTTTAAAAACAATTACAGAAGGTTTAGTTTGTGAGATGCTTTAACTTAAAAAGCGCTTTAATGATAATAAACTATTATTAAATTGGAATAAAACAGAATTTATGATTTTTGGTTGTAGGAAAAAAGATGATTTGGTGAGTCAGGTTGGGTCGCAGGAAGCAGCAGCTTGAGCAGGGAAGTCCAGACTTCTCTTTCCACGACCACCTCTTTCAGTTCTTCTGGGAGGACCCCAAAGAGTTCCCAGGCCAGAGGAGAGACATAGTGTTTCCAATGTACTGGGTCGTCCTCAGGGTCTCCTCGCAGTTGGACATGTCCATAAAACCTCCCTAGGGAGGACTCCAGGCGGCATCCTTACCAGATGTTTGAATCATCTCATCTTGTTCCTCTGGATGTGCAGGAGAAGCGAATAACCGAACTTCTTACCAGAGGAAACTCATTTAGACCGCCTGTCTAATGAGAATGATCTCATTCTTTTTGTCTCAACTCAGAGTTTGTGACCATAGGTGAAGGTAGGAATGTGGATTAACCAGTAAACTCTCCCTCTTCACCACAATAGACCGGCTCAAACTCCACAATACTGTGGAAGCTGTATGGATCCATCTGTCAATCTCACGCTTCATACTTCCCTCACTCGTGAACAAAACCCTGAGATATTTGAACTCCTCCACTTAAGGCAGAACCTCACCCTCAACCCGAAGAGAGCAATCCACCCTTTCTCGGTTGAGGACCATGGCCTCAGATTTGGAGGTGCTGATTCTCATCCCAGCTGCTTCACACTCGGTGAGAGCTGGAGATCACGGCACGATTCAGTTCAATTCAGTTTATTTATATAGCGCCAAATCACAACAAAGTTGTCTCAGGGCATTTTACAGGAGCATTCATATACATAAAGGCCAATTAGTAAAGTTCTCTATCTAAGGAGGCCAGCAGACAAGTTGGCACCAACAGGACCACATCATCTGCAAAGAGCAGAGATGGAATCCTGAGGCCACCGAACCAGAATCCCTCCACCCCCTGACTGCACTGAGAAATTCTGTCCATAAAAGTTATGAACAGAATCGGTGACACCAGGCAGCCCTGGCGGAGTCCAACTCTCACCCTGAAGGGGTCTGACTTACTGCCGGCAATACGAACCAAACTCTCGCACCGCTTGTATAGGGACTGAACAGCCCGTAACAATGGACCCCAATCCCATACTCACAGAGCACCCCGCACAGTGTACCCCGAAGAACACGGTCGAAAGCCTTCTCCAAGTCCGCCAAACGTAGACTGGATGGGCAAACTCCCATGACCCCTCGAGGACCCTTTTTTTCATTTAACCTTTATTTATACAGGTTAATCCCAGTGAGGCTCTGGGACTCATTTACAAGAGAGACTTGACCCTAGCGAAGGTAATTTATATATATATATATATATATATATATATATATATATATATGTATATATATATATATATATATATGTATATAAGTATTATTGCTTTTTATCTGTATGAGTTTTACAAAGTAAATGTTAAATAGTAAAGTATAGTAAAATAAACCAAACTACCAGTCTATTTATGGAGTTAAACATTTTGAATTTTTATGATTTAACTAACTTAAAAATATAATTTATAAAAGCTGTTCAGCATTGGCATAGACGATTTGGAAAGTTTTTTTTCATGGACTCAACTCTGCTGCTCCACCCACAAATGCATTTTGCTAACCCCAACTTTGGGTTGCAGCCTGAATTACAAGGATGGATGTACAGTATGTAGTCAAATAACATAAATATCTTTTTCTACTGTCTGCAGAGAAATTAAAATCAAAGTGAAACACAACATTTCTATCTTTTTTGTTTATTATTTATATTGTTTACCAAAACATCCTGACTTTTTATGATGAGGTGAAATTAATCTTTCAAATGCCGCCTTACTAAGTTTACAGAACAGGTTCAATGTTCAAATGTTTTATCCTCAGGAGAGAAACCATACGCCTGTGACGAGTGCGACTATCGCACTAACAGAGCAGACGCCCTCCGTGTGCACCGGGACACTCAGCACTGCAACCTGCGCCCTTACGTCTGCGAGAAATGTGGCAAAGCCTTCAAAACGAGCTTCATACTGAAGACCCACCAGCAGAAGCACAGCGACGGGCGACCTTACGCCTGTGGATTGTGTCAGAAAGCCTTCCGGTGGCCGGCGGGCCTCAGGCATCACTACTTGTCCCACACGAAGCAGCAGCCGTTCTGCTGCCGCCACTGCTCCTACCGAGCCAAGCAGAAGTTCCAGGTGGTGAAGCATCTGCAGAGGCACCATCCAGAGGTGGCAGCAGAGCAGGGGGTGCTGCGAGACTCTGAAGGAGAGATTCTCACCTTAAAGGAGGCTCTGCAGGGAACTCTAGATTAGACCAATGGCCAACTTCCTCCGACAAACAAGTTGCTGAAGAAGTTGCTGCAGAAATGCAAAATGTCCGAGAGACAAAAGAGATCCTCAGATCTGTCTGTATTTATACTTAACCACTTAGTTTTATTGCCTGTGAGAGAAAAAGTACTGTACATACCAAAAACAAATTAACAAGCCAGAGATTGTGAATCACTGAATTGTACTTCATTCAACCTTTTATCTGCATTCAGCTATTCTGAAAAAAGGCTTATA